CAACCCATGGTCAACCCCAGGATACCCCCCAACCCTCCAACCCCCATGGACAACCTCACGGGACCCCCATCCATGCATCCACATCCCCATGGCCAATCCCATGGTGTCCCCCAACCCTAGACCCCCCCATGGGCTCCCCATCTATATCCATCCCTCCATGGGGAACCCCCACCCACACACTCACCCCACGGGCCCCCCAGTGGGACCCTGCCCACAGACCTCCAATATCCAACCCCACGGTGCCCCCCACCCTGTCAACCCCACCATGCTCCCACACAGTGACTGACACGTACCTGGTCCCCGCAGTGTCACCCGCAGGTCCCCGCTGCCCGCACCCCGTGTCAGGACCTTGAAGTCAGCCACGTCCTGCACTCGGACGCCCCGTGGCTGCAGCCCCCGGCCCGTGGCCCGGACCGCCGAGGGGGTGCAGGCTGCAAAGTCCCATTAGCACCCACCAGCACCCACCAGGCACCAGGGGGACCTTGGGGAACCCCCAGGAAAAGGAAGTGGGGGTGTCCCAGGGCTGGCAGGGGCACATGGGGATGCCTTGGGGATGCCCTGGGGATAGGGGAGTACCATGGCATCCTCAGGGGCACAAGGAACCAAACCCTGGGGACACCTTGGGGACAGGGGTGCCAGAGGGACACCCAGGGGAGTGTGAGGGGACCATGGGTTCACCCATGGTCACTTATTGGTGTCACAGACCACCACGGTCACCACTGTGTGCCTTGGGGCCACTGTGGTGACATCTGGGTGACACGGAGCCACTGACAGTTGTCATTGGCTACAGTGGTCACAAATGTTGTGGAGCCACGTGGGGACCTGGGAGGGAGCCTCACCTTCAGCCACATTGACGGTGAAGGGGCTCCTGGGGACCTGGGTGCCAGCGTAGGTGACACAGATGGTGTGTGGCCCTTCGAGGACGGGCCGGTAGGTGCAGCGGAACACGTTGTCTCCCTTGTCCTCCAGCATCACCTCCACCGTGTCCCGCCGGCCCTGGGGGTCTGTGATCACCACCCCCACATCGCCCGAGCCAGCCCCTGTCATCACCAGGACACAGGCTCAGTGCCATGGCCAGGCTACCATGAGGACATGTCCCCAGAGCCACCCAGCCGTGCCATGGCCCTGTCACCCTGATGACACGGCCCCACAGCCACCAGACCATCCCATGGCCATGGCACAAGGACACAGTCTTGGTGCCACTTGCCACACGGTGGCCCTGCCACCAGAAGACCACCCCATGGCCATGTCACCATGAAGGCGTGGCCACAGAGCCACTAAATCGTGCTATGTCAAGGCCACCTCGAGGACACGTCCCCAGAGCCACCTGGCCATGCCATGGCCCTGGAATGAGAAGGACATGTCCCCAAGCCACCATGAGATCATGCCATGGACATGCCACGGCCCTGCCACTCCCAGGACACATCCCCAGAGCCACCAGGCCACCCCATGTCATCAGGAGAACGTAACTTCAGTGCCAGCAAGTCACGTCACAGCCACAGCACAAGGATATGTCTCAAAGTCTCTGGGTCACGCCATGGTCATGCCACCACGAAGGCATGTCCCCAGTCACCCGGCCATGCCATGGCAACACCACAAGGACATGTCTCCAGAGACCCCCAACCCCGCTGTGCCCCCACCTGCAGTGTAGATGTCGAAGTAGGTGGTTTTGTTGGCCACGTTGCCCACGGGCTCCAGGCCGGGGCCGCGTGCCGTCACCTTGCTGGCGTCACCCAGGGCCATGCCCACGTTCACCCCAAAGGGGCTCCCGTCAATGTTCTGTCCCGCGAAGAGCACTGTCACCTGCAGGGCACAGGGACGTCAAGGGTGTCAGGGGACCACGGCCCCCAAGACTGCACCACACCTCAGGAACAACCCCCCGAAGGATCCCCACGGAGAGAGCACGTGTGACATCCCAGGGACACCCCTTAGAGTGACAACCTGAAGAGTCCCCCCACAGCAGTGACTGTCCCCATGGACTCCCTATTGTCCCCTCCAGAGACCCTAAAGCATAGGACACCCAGGAATCCCAACGGGACACCCCAGGCTCCCCCCAGTACAACACCTCCCCCCACAGGCTTCAGTGTGGCACCCCAGGCACCCTACAGGACACCCCAGGGCCACCCAGTGCCATCCCTAGAGACCCCAAGGGGAGCCCTCCAGGGACCCTCCGGGACCCCCAAGCCCCACGGTGCCAGCTGTCCCCCATTCCCCTTGGGGGGAGGCATGGGGGGGAGAAGCCACCACTCTGAGGTGTGGGGGGTGTCAGGGGTGGGGGTGTCACCAGGAACATCACAGGGGGCGTGTTGTGGGGGGGGTATTGTGGGGGGCATTGCAGGGTCACCGAGGGTCTCACCTTGTGCAGCCCCCCGACCTTGGGGACGTAAGTGACGCTGTATGTTCTCTTCTTGTCATTGTTGGGGACCACCTTGGCCTGGGGTGGGAAGAGACCCCAAACGGGGGAAAGGGGGTGACACAGAGCTGGGGCACTGGGGGGGAATCTCCCAGAGAGGGAGACAGGGAGGATCTGCCAGAGGGGGGACCAGGGCCCCTGTACCTCCTCAGTGTGTCCCTCGGGGTCCTCAACATAGACAAGGACCTCACCCATCCCCGCCTCGAGGGTCTCCACTGTGAACTGGGCAGGGCGCAGCACCACGTTCCCCTGGGGCTCAATGCCTGAAGGGTAGAAGGAGTCAGGGGGGGCCCTGGCACCCCACAACCCCCCAGAACCTGGGGCCTCCAGGTTTTCCTTGGTGGTGGCAGGGGGGTCCGGGGTGTCAATGGTGTATCCTGAGTACGGGTGGGTGAGCCTGATAGGACTTTGAGGGGTCCCTGTGCACAGGGGGACTCCTGGGGAGCCCTGGGTGGGGAGTGGAGACCCTGGGGCTTCCCTCAGGTGTCCCTGGGTACAGGTGACACACCAGGATTGGAGAGGAGTCCCTGGGCTTGGGGAGCCATGGTTTCCTCTCATGCCCTGACAGCCACAGCCCCCAGGTACTCTCTTGGGCCAGGTTCCAAAGCACCCCATGTCCCCCACCCAGCACCCTCCCCGTGTGCCCCCTGCGCCAGTCCCCATGTGCTCCTGAGCTCCCCCTGTGTGGGGTCCGTGCCTCTCGTGTGTCCCATGTCCCACCCGGGCCAGATCCCCAGCCCCTGGTGCCCCCACAAAGCTCCACACCCCCTGATGCCCCCCTGTCCTGGG